CTCCTGCGGTCATAGAGCAATACTGTCTCCTTGTACAGCGGGGAAGTGCTGTGGGAAAGGCTGACAGTCAGACTGTCTTTACAAAAAAAAATAAATAAAGTCACCCCGCCGGAGCGCACACAGATTAAACATGTGGAGTGCAGAAAAAATAATCTGCAAAGTGTGTAGAAAGGAATAAATACAAGCAATTTGTTTTACCACCTTAAAACGAAGCAGGTGATTACAAACACAACACCCAATGGATGCAGATATCTATTACATTAAAGTTATTGTATGAGTGTGTGTGATTATATATATATATATATATATTTAACCAGGTAGATCTCCCTTAAATTTAGATTTTTTAAGGTCTAAATTTTTTTTACCTATACATATTTATTCCACTCGATTAATGTGTGATTAATTTATTTTTTATTATAAGTTTTATATCGTGATGTATATCGTTACCGCCACTCATCATAATGTATATCGTGATATGAATTTTTTGCCATATCGCACATTCCTAAAAGTCGCTAACATTTGCTAACAATCAACAACAGTCGTCACCAACAATTACTAATGGTCACCAACAGTTGCTAACAGTCATCAACAGTTACCATCAGTTGCTAACAACCAATAACTGTCACTTACAGTTTATAACTGTCACCAGCAGTTGTCAACAAGCAGTTACCAACATTCACAAGCAGTCAATATCAACAACTAGCAGTCATGAGCAGTTACTAACAGTAGCCAGCAGTCGCAGCACAGTGACCACAGTAGAAGCAAAGACCAGCAGGTTTTCAGTTTCTCCTCAAGGTGAAAATATGAAAACTGTTTAAAAATAATGACTTTTGGCAACACTATTTGTTCTTTTGTTCATGTCCTCATCGCCATGCATGAAGACATAATCATATCTGTCACTCCTAATAACTAATTCAAACATCGAGTTTCTCTTCAATGCTTTATACGTGTGAAGTTTCTTAATGTACACAAATAAATATAATTTCCTCATATGTAAAAAGGACATCTCTCTGTCAGTGACCTGCTCCTCCTCCCCTGTCGGTACAGTATGCTGAGTCTTCAGGCCAGATGCTATTGTTAGCTCCATCTGTCCTAGTAAACCACATATTTACTCAAGTGGAAGGACATTGGCCTGGAGAGAGAACACACAATCATTCAGGAGCTTTATCAGCGTATTTCTGCTCTCGTTTGTCTCTGAAACTGCATGGCAGCGAAATGGAAACAGTTATTTACAGTTCAAACAAACATGGTTAAATCTTTCTTAGTTTTTATTTCAATTGAATCAGTTAAGATTAAAGATAGATTAAAGAATGTGGAAAAATTGAGGTGGCATGGCTATCAGTTTATGGTCTGTAATGACCAGGAAATTGTGATTTATCCCAGATTTGTCCAGTTTTTGAATATATTTAAAGAAATCAGATTTAGACCTTAAAACCCAATGTTTAGTACTTTGTTAGACTCTTAAAAACTTAGTTTTGGCCTCTGAAAAGATTAAACAGTTGGTCCTGTGGTTGAGCTCGTTTAGGATGTTGGATGCACCTGAGGAATTTCTCTTGGTCACTTATTAAGCGGTCATACTAGTCTAGGTTTCACAGTAACTTCACAGTAGTGAGCCATTGAATGAAACCTTGGATATGTATTTGTTTGACTTCCAGATGAGGGGCTGGGCAGCAGCGGGAGGCACTATGGCTCCGGCTCTCTGGGCTCTGGATCCGTCGGCTCCTTGTACCTGTCGGACAGCCAGGACTGGGTGGTTTCCCCGAGCTGCTCTCCGGATGAAGGCCCGGGCCAGCTCAACTCCATCTCCCCCATGCTGGCTGAAGAGACTCTCCGTTACATGAGTAAGTGTATTTTTACACAAGTCTAGCATTTCATTATTTATCAAATGAACTGTGAGGGATTCCTTTTATTCGTCTCATTTGTTTAAATCCCTGGGATTTACTGTGGATATTATTGGCACAGGGTTTATCTTTGTGCCAGACTCTGATATCCTATGTGAGTGACTGAGGAACATAATTATCCTGCCAGAGTCACAAGGTTGGCAGCAGCGTGGGTGGGACTTGTTGGGGTTGCTGGGTGGACAGACAGAGGTTGAAGACGAGGACAGTTAGGAAGGAGAAATGCCTGTTTTAGACTTCCATGATGAGGAGGTCTACGATAACTTTGCAGAGGAAGGTGAGAGCAGGTTCCATTTTCTGTTTGTGTGACAAAAGTGTCTTAAAAGGAAAGGAAGTGGGCAAACCTTCTGCTTTGTTTAGTTGTGGTATGCAGGAACAGCTTCAAAACATCAACTTCCTCTTCTTTGCTTTATTTAGCTGCAGCGCAGCTTTACTTTGTATGTTTGCATTCTGAACTTTAATGATCAACCTGTCTTCATCTTTTAGGGCAGTTTGAAGTAATCTTGTTACTGTTTGCTCGACATGTGTCATGTAAAATAAAACACAGCCTATTATTAGTACACGTGGAGCCTCTGCATTCTAAAAAACGATAAGGGGTTGTGACTCACTCTGCAACATGTAAAAAAAAAATCAAAATATAAAATATGTAACATATAAAATAGGGGTGAAACAGTACATTGATCATTGCTATATCAATTAAACGATTGATTCACTTACATCAGACAAAACAAAAACAGTGATCCATATCGTGTCCACATCACCTCCATCGAAATCGATCCACATCATGTGTTAGATGTACATATATTATTGTGTAATATTGATCGCCGACTTGTAATCTGAAATCGTATCATGACAGACTTTGTGATATTGAGAAACACCATATTGTCATCCAAAACAAATCCCTATTGTATCATGATAAAGCTGCTGATTTTCACCTCCAGTATAAAATATCTTGTCTACAGTTTTATAAACATGCATTAAAGCCACTAAACTATTCCATCATACTACTCCTGTGGTATAAATTCCCTTTAACAAAATGTTTGTTTTTACAGGCATATGTAGCGCAAATGACCATCCTCTTTCTCCACCCAAGCTGTTAGTATACATTGGCCAAAATGAGAATTCCCCTAAATTTTGCGAAAACCACAACCCTTTACACCATCAGAGTGTTTCCAATCTCACCCTCTTTCTTCTAAAGTAACAAGTTATAAGAGTTAGCACGTCTGTTGCCAAAACACAGCATTAGCCAGTTAGCATTTATCGGAATAGACCATTTGCAATTGTGCAAATTTAGCAAGCTCAAAAAGCAGATTTGTAGCATAGATATTTACGAAAAATCTCATCTATAATCCTAAAGGAAAGTTCAACATAAATAGTTCTGTATAATCATCAGTTCTGTATAATCATCAGGTCAGTACAATTACGACAATTTACTGGTTGAATTTGTTTACCGGTTTCGTTTTCTCGATAAACGTGCTAGCTTGGCCCACCTCATGCATGACCATCTGTAACAATTTTTAACTACGAAATGGTCTATTCTTTGCCAGTCATTTTCTTCCCAAGCTCCTGGAAAAGTTGCAGTTGTTTTGTTTGTTTGTTTCATTACTTTGGTAATTTTCCAGATATTTCAATGACATTTGGTGAGTACAAACAGCATTTCTCCTACATTTCAGGTTTTGGAGAGGGGTCAAGAAGACTTTGAGGTTTAGATTTTGCTTTTAATAACAGCAATAAATTTGACATTGGATTAATAAGTGGTATAACAAATAGTGCATTTAAATACATAGCAATAAATAGTTTTAAGTACTTTGATGACAAGAATGTCCATAAATGACATTTTTTTAACACAGCCCTCATAAAGAGAGGGTGTTGTTAACTAAGGGGGTTCCCTTCTTGTATAATGCTAGATTAGGTTAGATTAGATTAGATTAGATTAGATTAGATTAGATTAGATTAGATTAGATTAGATTAGATTAGATTAGATTAGATTAGATTAGATTAGAG